CAAGCAGGGCTGATGAGATGCCATAAAGCGTTCATTCAGCCTGCTGAGGTCCAAGCACTGAACGAGTGACGGAACCTGAAGACACATCTCGTAAATAATAACGAGTAAAGGAACAGGGGGGAGCCCATGAAGCAGCCTGACAAATGTCTTCCATTGACACACCACTGAGGAGCGCCATAGAAGAGTAAATCCCTCTGGCTGAGTGAGCCCTGAGTGTCTCAGGAGGAACCCGCCCTGCTGATGTGTACGCGAGTGAAATGGCGTCACATAGCCAGTGTGAAAGACGCTGGGTCGACAGCGCTTGCCCAAGGGAAGACTCCCTGTAGTGCACAAACAGGCTCTGTGAGCGGCGAATCCCCGAAGTGCGTGACACATATGGTGCGAGCGCGCGCACCGGGCAGAGAAGATGGGAAGCCGCCTCCTCCTCAGAACTATGGGGAGGAGGAAAAAGTCCAGCCAATGAAATTGACCTGGATTTGAAGGAAGCAGTAATGCTTTTGGGCACAAAGGCTGGGTTGGGGCCTAAAACAGCAGACCCGCCATCCTCCCGGATCCTGAGGCATGCGGGAGCCACTGAGGGGGCGGCCAGGTCGCTCACCCTCTTGACTGATGCCAGAGCCAGTAGCAATGCAGTTTTAAGCGACAGGAACCTAAGTGAGACCTGGTCCAAGGGCTCAAATGGGGCTTTAGATAAGCCGTGCAGAACCACCGTGAGGTCCCATTGGGGAAATAGCGGCCGGGACACAGGTCTGTTCCTTCTGACGCCTTTTAGAAAACGTTTCGTGAGGGGATGACTGAAAACAGATCTATCCCCAAAGCCCTGATGACAGGATGAGATAGCTGCAGCATATGTCTTAATAGTGCTGAATGCGAGGCCCCTGTCCATCAGTATCTGCAGAAACGATAGGACATCCACCAGCTGGCAGGAGAGCGCTTGAATATTCCGCTCTGCGCACCAGTTCTGGAAAGCTGCCCATTTAGCAGCATAAGATGCCACGGTAGAGGGCGCTCGTGCACTCTGAATCGTGGCCACCACATCATGCGGCAGCCCAGAAGCCTCTAAGCGTGACCGCTCAGCAGCCAGACCCAAAGATGCTGGCCTATTTCGGGAGGATGTCTGAATATTCCATCCGCCTGGAGAGGGGCATCCTCCCTCCACGGCAGCCTCCACAGGGAGCCGGACACTAGCGCTTGCAGGTCCGTAAATCATGACGCGGACAAGCGTCTGGGAGCCACCAGAATCACCAAAAGCTGTTCTGACCGAACTCGGTCCAGGAGACGGGGAATCAGAGGGACTGGTGGAAACGCATAGAGGAGCGTTCGAGGCCAGGGCTGGTGTGAGAAGGCGTCCGCCCCGAGTGGGGGTCGGTCCCGGGGACTCAGGGAAAACCACAGGCGACACTGAGCGTTTTCGCGAGCCGCGAACAGATCCACAGAAGGTACCCCGAACCTGATCCAGATCTGCGATACCAGCACAGGATGCAGATGCCAGTAGGAGTTGCGGGGTCCCCCTCTCGACAGGATGTCTGATGCTACATTCAGGACCCCCGGGATGTAGGTGGCCTTGATGGACAGCAGGTGGCCATGTGCCCAACACAGTAAATCTGTGGCTACACGCAACAGAGGGAGAGACCGAACTCCCCCTTGGCGATTTATGTAGGCTGCCGCCACCCGGTTGTCCGTGTGAACTTCGACATGACGGCCCTCGAGAAGGGCAGCGAAGTGTCTGATCACATTCCTCACTGTCATCAGCTCCAACACATTTATGTGCTCGTGCGTGTGGGAGGGCCAGCGATCTGCCACCGTATGGGACAAGCACGTGCCCCCCCACCCCAACAGTGACGCATCCGTAAACACAGACACGTGTGACGCAGGACGTCCGATGGGAACTCCGTGTGAGAGGGTGCAGGGGTTCCCCCAGTGAGTGAGGTCCCCGCCCACTGAGGGGGGAACCCTCAACATACGTTTCTTCTGACGTATTGGGTGCACCCGGAGGCGGATGAACCAACGTTGCAGGCGCCTCGTGTGCAGCAACCCTAGCGGCACCACAGTGTGGGCTGCAGCCATCATGCCCAGAAGTTTCATGATTAACAGGGCTCTCACGATCCTGCGGGGTTGCACACGGGAGATCACCACGATGAGATCTGCCGCTCTCACCGGCGACAAACGTGCTCTCATCAGGGAGGCTTTCAGCTCCACCCCGAGAAACACAATCGACTGGGACGGAAGGATGGAGCTCTTCTCCCAGTTTATAGAAAACCCCAGGGTTGACAGATGCTCTGTTAACTTCCTCGTCTGTTCCGACGCCTCGTCCTCGGACCGAGCGCACAGGAGCAGGTCGTCCAGGTAAAATAAAACTCTCATTCGCGCTGTGCGCAGCGGCTGCAGCGCGGTCTCCAGACATTTGGAGAAAGTGTGCGGGGCTAGCGAGTAGCCGAAAGGGAGGCGATTGAACTGGTATTGAACTCCCTTGAATGAGAAGCGCAGGAACTTCTGGTGCCTGGGAATTACCGGGATGTGGAAGTATGTGTCTTTCAGGTCTATTGACGTGAACCAGTCCCCAGAACGCACGTATTCCAGGACTTGCCTCATTGTCAACATGCGGAAATGCATCACTGCTATGGAGCAGTTGAACAGGAAAAGGTCGAGAATCTGTCTCATTCCTCCCAACTTCTTCGGTACTACGAATTAGCGGGAGTAGAAACCCGAGAGCTCTTGTCCGCGAGGGACTCGGGAAATAGCGTCCTTGGACAGAAGTTGTGCTCGAAAGGGCGAGTGTGAACCAGATGGAAGAGGCTGATCCGCACCGCGGGGCGTGGAGACCAAAGGAGCAGGGCTAGTGGGAGCCGGGCCCATACACGGGGACGGCAAAGTGCCCACGGACGGAGCCGCCGCGCGTGACCGCGACCGCGCCATGACGTCCCGTCCCACCCAGAGTTGTGGGGAAAACGGTACAGGTTGGGCCTGGCCGGAGGCTGGGGCCGGTGCGCGAATGGAGCGCACCTTTACAGCTGGCCGTGAGACATGGCTGACTGCGGGAATATGTATATGTGCCGCAGTGCTTGATGTGGGGAACGCGTGTGAAGAGTCGGCAGAGGAATCTGCAGAGGACTGTAGCATTGAGCTCTTTAAGTGAAGTTTTTTGGGTTTTATTTCAAAACCAACATTAACAGCAGCATCAGCAGCATTACACTCATGTACACACACATTCCCCCCAAAGAGTCATTTTCGTGGCTGCTTCCGGCGAGGCTCCTGCGACTGCCACGGCGGCGTCTGCTGGCTCCGTCGAACCCGATGGCCGCCAACTCGCTGGTCTCGCTGAGGTGGAGCCGAAGCGGGGGGCCGGCTCCGTGGAGCGGGCGCCTGAAGTTCCCACGCCGTTCGTCCCATCCTCTGGCGGAACAGCCGGAGTGCGAGGCTGACCGAGGGTGGACCAGGTCTCGCACCGTAGCTGATAGTTCAGCCTTCTTCTGAGCCCTCTCGATGACGCCCCTTAGATGGTGACCGAACAAAACGTCAGAGGTGATGGGGCCTTCCAGCATCTCCCTGTGCAGGTGATCAGGAATGGAGGGCAGTGCCTTGAGCCACAGGGCCTGATGGATGAGGGTCTGCCAGGCAGCAATGCGAGCAGAACCGGTGAGCACAGAAGCGCATAGATTGAGGATAGCATCAGTAGTTTTAATAATGGTGGTCTTCGACTCGTCGGGAGCGTCCAGCTCCTCCATCGTCTTCGAAACGCCGAAGGCGAGAAGGGCGATGTTATTCCCTGCAGCGCCGGTCTGAAAGGCACACTGGTGTGCGCGGTCGGTGAGCCGTGTCAGCAGCTGGTCATGTTTTGAAGCGGGAACTGCTCGCAGGCCAGTGAGGTGGTTCTTGGCGCCAAACAGCGAGGCCAAGTCCGACTCGAGTGGAGGAACGGACGGCCAGCCCTGGTCGGAGAAGCCCTCGACCTTGGTGGTAGGTGGAAACTGGCGCCTTGAGCTTGGCAGGCTCGGAGAAGGCGGCGGACCAGCAGCCCATAGCAGCGGGGAAGCGCGGCCAGATAGGGTCTGGACAGCGCGTCTGAGTTGTCCCGAAAATTCCCGCCAAGTCATCCGCTTCGGGCGGGGGCGGTTCTGGAACGGCTAGCCCCTTGCGGACCGCAGCCATGGAGATGATGGCGGGCAGCTCCTGGAGCAATGCTCTTACTGCTGGTAGGGAGGAGCGAGAAGCCGCTGGGGCAGGAAGACCCGCTGAGCCAGGCTCGTCAACCTCCGTGTTGTCTAGGAGGGAGGAATGGCTAAGACGGCTAGCCTCGTCGTAGTCCTCGCTGTCGGTGACGTCATCCAGCCGGTTGAAGCCAGCCGGCTTCTGACTGGCGTTGAAGAAGCCCAAAGCCTTGTCCAGCGAATACGTCTCAGCCACCGGGAATTCCTCGGCGGCGGTGGGAGTGAAGCACTCGACCCGGCGGATCTTCTCAGCCACAGGCAGAGCGGCACAAAACGGGCACGAGAGCTGGGGGTCAAGGCCAGGCCAGCGTGATGAGCCCCAAGACAGACCTCACATTTGTTGTGCAGGTTGCCGCTGGAAATAGAGCCCGTCTGGCAGGCCGGGCAGGTTCTGGCATCGCTGGACATAGCTGGTGAGTTGTAATCTTCTTGCGATAATTTGCTCTTTAAGGAAGCTCTCAAGCTTGGCATGAAGAGAAAAAGGAGGCGAACAGTGGAGTTGCTCCACTTATATACCCACAAGGGGGCCCACTATTAGTTGGCGTACATTTAAGCTCTTCATGAATGGCTGATGCGGACATCATCCTTCCAATAGCAGCTCGCTTAAGGGCTAAGACTAGACGAAATAGAACAGCTATTTAAGGCAATGCTGCTTTTATTTTGATAGTGGGTTAGCTAATTAGCATTTTGAGGCATCATTAAGAGTATGAAAAAAAACAAATACACACCACAGCTTTTACAGGTTACACACAATTAATTACAATAACAGGGAACTTTAGATTTCTCTATGTCATGGTCTCCGTCTGCGTCTTCCCTCATGTGTCTCCTTGTGTTCTCCATCCCTCTCTAGGTTCTCCTTTTGTGTTTCTCCTAGCGCCCTCATGTGTCCTTTGTCTGCATCTCATTTATGTGTCTCTTTGTGTTCTTCATGTGTCTCCTGTTTGCAGCCCTCCAGATCATTCCTCCCAGGTCCTGTGTTCTTTCAGTCATCCCCAGCCCCTCCAGTTGTGCCTTCACGTTCTGTGTCCTTGTAGCTCCAGCCCTTTTTGTCCCCAGCTCCCCCCTGGTTTTCTTCATGTCTCTAGAGCCCCCTTCAGACAGGCCATGAAAAACGGAAATGTTCCGGAATCTGTCCATAAGACCTTTGTGTCTGAATACAAACATCCGGATAACGTGTTCCGGAATTTATCCGGACGAAGCCCCTAGTAACAGGTCCGGACTTGTTACGGACAGGGTGGCTGCTTCAGACTAGTGAGGTAAAGTTCCGGACAAGAGGGAGGGGGAGGAGGAGGGGACCAGGGGACTCTGTGCGCACCTATATAGCCCGCTGCTGTAGCATGCGGCGAACCACGGCAGCTCGCCTCCTACAGTACCGTCTAGACGTGCGACGGAGCGCTTCACACCGCTTCAGTGATTCCTTTAATCATTGAGCTTCATCATCCAGGTCTCTTATGCGTCTTCGTGTGCGCAGAATTATGCTTAAGCGCCTGGTGATTTTTATCTTGAGAGGCGCTATAGAAATGATATTTTCTTCTTCTTCTTAACATAAGTCCGATCCCCCCACCCCCCCACCCCCACCCCACCCCCGTCGCCGTCAGACATCTGGAACTTTTCTCTGCTGTATGAACGCAGCCGAAAGGACAAGTTCCGGTACAAAAGTGGTGTGTCTGAAAACACAGTTCCGGTTAAAAACCGGATTGAATTGTCCGCAAATGTTCCAGAATGTCTGTCTGAAAAGGGCTCAAGTCTCCCCACCTTAGTTTCTATAGGTGTTTTATTTCAGTTGTGTGTGTGCGTGTGTGTGTGTGTGTGTGTGTGTGTGTGTGTGTGTGTGTGTGTGTGTGTGTCCGTCCTTCCCCAGTCAGGTCTGGTGTCCTCCCCTGCTCCTATCTGCTCCTCCTCTCAGTTATTGTTTTCACCTGTGCCAGTTCTCCACACACCTGCTCCTCGTCTCCTATCATTCCAGCCCCAGTGTATTTTTTCCACTTGCACACTGAGCACCGGCTCCCCACAGGGCTGTGTGCTGAGCCCCCTCCTGTATTCTCTGTACACCCACGACTGCAGTCCGACCCACAATAACACTCTCATCATCAAGTTTGCTGATGACACCACGGTAGTCGGACTCATTTCGAAGGGAGACGAGGCAGAGTACAGAGAGGAAGTCCTGAAGTTGGCAGCATGGTGTTCAGAAAACAACCTGTCCCTGAACACCAAGAAAACCAAAGAGCTTATTGTCGACTTCAGGAGACACAGCACCGAGTTGGCCCCCCTCTACATCAATGGAGAGTGTGTGGAGAGGGTCCACACCTTCCGGTTCCTTGGTGTCCTCATTTCTGATGACATCTCCTGGGCGGAAAACATCTCAGCGGTCATCAAGAAGGCCCAACAGCGGCTGCACTTCCTGAGAGTCCTCAGGAAGTACAAACTGAACTCTGACCTGCTGCTGACCTTCTACTGCTTGTCCATTGAGAGCCTGCTAACCTACTGCATCACGGTATGGTACGGCAGCTGCACCAAGGCGGATAGTGTGAGGCTTCAGAGTGTGGTAAAGACAGCACAGAAGATCATCGGCTGTCCTCTCCCCTCCATGATGGACATTTATTCCTCCCGCTGCCTCAGAAGGGCAGCAAACATCGCCAAGGACAGCTCCCACCCTGGCTTCAACATGTTCAGACTGCTTCCCTCAGGGAAGCGCTACAGGTGCATTAATACAAAAACCCACAGACTCAAAAACAGTTTCTTCCCCAAAGCAATAACCACACTGAACTCACACATGCACTGATAACACAGCCCCCCACTTCCCACTTCCTCCATTGACCACCACTATCTATAGATACCAAATTCCATGTGCAATAAAGTGTATACACATAACACTACTGTCCATATGAACATAGCGCTGCAGAACTGTAACAATACTGTGCAATAATTTGTATGTAACACTTACTGTCCATATGTACATAGCACTGCAGAACTGTACCCCCCCCCCAAAGTATGTTTGTTTTACACTGAGTAGGAGATGCTCTGTATCTCACTTTACACCTGTATAGTGACAATAAAGGCATTCTATTCTATTGTATTCTAAAACCCTGTCCTTTATGCAATGTTGTATCGGTCCATTGTGGTATTCTGTTAGTCTTCTCGTTTTTGGATCTCTAGTTTATTGGTACTTCTCGTGTCTCATCTCCACGTCCATCTGCTGCACCTAAAGGATCTTCTGACATCCTTTAACTCTGCAGTCAGAGACGCGAGGGTTTCCTATTTCTCCAACCTGGTGTCCCAGAGCAAAGGGAACCCCAAGGTGCTGTTTAACACCATCAGCAGCATCGTCTCTCCTGCCTCTCCTACAGCCTCCATCCACTCTGTTGCAGACTGTGAGAACTTTCTGTCTTTCTTTGTGGACAAAGTCAATAAGGTTAGATCTAGCATCTCTCCTTCAGCCTTATCGCTGCCTCTCCCGACTCCAACCAGGCCCATCATCCTAGATAGCTTTGCTCCTGTTTCTTTGCCTGAGTTAACCAAACTAGTTAACTTATTCCCAAGGGCTACGTCTACGTCAACAGGGTGAGGAGATCAGACCCGCACCTCCCAGATTTATTATGATGACAGTGAAGTTTGCTATGTTGTAAACAGTAGTAATAATTCCCTGTGTGGCAGTATTATTGTTGTCTTTTCTGTGTTTTTGCCCCGCCTGCTGCACCAGGACACACTCGGGTCCTGGCAGAACTGTGTGTCTGCTTGTGAGCGTGCGCTGAAGGAGGGCCGCAGCGTTGCCATAGACAACACCAACCCAGACCCGGAGTCCCGCAAACGGTAGGTTCTGGTACTGTGTGTGTGTGTGTGTGCGTGTGTGTGTGTGTGTGTGTCAGACCACTGCCAGCCACGATGTAGCTCATCACCATCAGTGTGTGGACGGATGACTCTAGTGTAAAGCACTATGGAGTCTGACTCGTTAAGCTCTATGACTACGTTTACATGCAGCCAATATCCGGGTTATGATCGGGTTACGGTCGGGATTCGGGTTTCTGAGTTGATCAGAATAACCCGTTTACAAGCATAAACAGAAAGAGTTACCTCTAACTTGCATAACCCGATTTAAATGCGGACGTTGGGGTAGCGTCAGGACGTATGGACTACGTCCAGACGCAATATGCGTCATTTCCGGTTCTTCTCGTTCCGGTATCCGTGAAAACAACAACATGTTTCCCAGTTTGGAAGAGATAGCGACCGCGTTTGTTTGCGCTTTAGTTTCCTCGTCACTCCAAAAGTGTGGTGCTGTGCCGCGACTCGCCATGTTGCTCCCAACTTGTTGTTTACTTCCGGAGTTCTGGCGCATACAAGACGTCTCGCTACTCAAAAGACCAAGATTCCATGCGAACAGAGCATGCGCAGAACACACGCTTTGATGGGGATATCCCGATATGCGTTTACACGACCAAACATTCGGGTTAGAAAAGGGTTACCCCAGGTGTAGTAGCCGGGTTTTTAAAAACCCGGTTATGAGCATATCCGGGTTTTTGGCGGTGTTTACATGGACCTGCAGAACCGGGTTATTGTGAATATTCGGGTTTTAAAAGGGTTACTGGCTGCATGTAAACGCACTCTATGTGATGGTCATGTTTCCGGCTGACTTGGTTGTCTCCGGGATCGGAGATCCGTGTTTAAAACGGTTTATCCTGTTGTTACATAGACGGTGGAAGTATTTATATTTGTTCTCTTTTATTGTGGAACTATTTTCAGTACGTATCAGAGGCCGTTGTTACCAGGTTGTTTTCTGCAGGTATGTAGGCGTGGCCAAAGCAGCAGGGGTGTCGTGTCGCTGTTTTCACTTCACGGCCACTTTGGAACAAGCCAAACACAACAACCGAGTACGATTCCTGCTTTCCTTTCTCCCATCACTCACGTTTATTCTGGTTCTGACGGTGTGGTTCTCGTTCCCAGTTCCGTGAGATGGTTCCGTCTGGCAGCAAACATGCTAAGGTCAACGACATGGTTTTCCACAGCTACAAGTGAGTGAAACGAGCCTGAAATAGTCCAGTAAAAGTGTCTGCCCAAGCTTTGAGGTAAAGCTGATCTGTTTCAGGAAACATTTTGTGGCCCCTGCTCTGTCGGAGGGATTCTCTGAGATCCTTCAGATCCACTTTGTTCCACACTTCAAGGACAACCAATCTGAGACTCTGTTCAGACAGTTCTCAGAGGGCTGATGGACTCGCCAACACCTCCGCAATATAATCAACCCTGCAGAGCTCCACTGGTGAACTTATGAAGTGATGTTGGCTAGATTTGTAGCTCAGAATCGGGCTTATTTTGACAAGGACGCAAGAAAATAAAGAGATGTTTATCTAATCATGTATGGCTGTGTTCAGTTCAGTAAAACAACAAAGGCTTTGAACAAAATAAAGATATGTTAATAAAAGTCTTCCTGACGTTCGATGTTTGCTTTAAATTCTGGATGCGTTTGGGATAAAGGTCTGATGAAACATTTGTCATTTTCTAAAAGATAAACATTTACATTTTAAAAAGACTTAGCTTAGCGCCCTCTTTGACAAAAGGTCAAACTCAACCAGGTATGAGTTGACGGTGAGAGCTGTTGCTGTTTTTCTGTGTTCGACTGATAGATAATTTTAATCTATGTTCGGTAATTTACTTTAGCATTATTCACTATTATGTTGCGTATTTTAATTTAGCATTGTTCTTATATTACCTTAAACTTAAATTACCTTAAAGGAAGTCAGAACACCCACACAGAGGGATTAGATTCTTAAATTTAGTAAACCGTAACAAACCTATTAAACAGACAAACTCTGCAAAGTGTAAACTCTGTAGAGGGTGAGAGAATCAGACCATACAACACGGAAGCCATTTTCCTCTCACAAAGGAGCCGGGAGCTCATGGAGGGGTTTTTATTGAATCCAAAATGTTCACACCCACAAATACCATTAGCGTGCAACCCCTGCCTGACCAGTTTGGAATAACATCTTGGTCTTAGAATGCACAGGAAAACTTCAGATACTGGATCAAAATGCCTAAAGCAGAAAGGAGTTTCCTAAAACACGCAAACGTGAAAACAAATAAGTAGGTCAGGGTTTTTCCTAACCACATTTAAGCAGCAAAGGTGAATGAACTCTTCACATAGACAAAGGAAAAGATTTCACAACAATAATGAACAATTAAAAATACCTAACATCGACTGTAAACTCGCAGATGAAAGTAAGCTGTGGAAGTGGCAGCCCCCACCATCCAGATCCAGTAATCAGAAGACGATCATGATTAGATGTTAAACGGCGCTCCAGTTAGCTACATTAAAAGAAAATGAAACGCTTTCTTCAGGCTCCCTCCAGACTCTGATGGTCACAGAAAAGGACACAACACCAGAGGCAACAGATGCTGTCAGTGAAACCTTCATATCTGTGATTTGGGACCTGTAGTTGGTCCCTTTTCTGCCATAGTTCTAAACATAACACACCTACATAACTATGACAACTTGGCATGCTAGCATAAGTAGCGTGTGGTGTTTTCATGGTGAGAGACGAAAGTTTTCGATTTAAAGAGCAAGTCACTCCAAATCAACATTTTTTTTTGCTGATAAACTTTATAAATGAGTGTCTGATCGTGCTGCAGACACGTGTAGTCAATAATTTGGCAGTTCAGTGCATCTTAGTTAAAATTTAAATATTCTGCCTAAAACTGGCAGTGTTGCACCGTCGTCAGGTAAAAACTCTGCACTGCATTTGAATTTAAAGAGCAAGTCACCCCCTACTAGAAACTTACTTCACTCTCGCTTCATGTTTGAAAAATGCAACGAATGCTGTTGCCAGGCAGACCGAGAGGGCGGAGTCGCTAGCAAACACATGCACACACAGGCTCACAATGGCATTATGACATCATAATGTACCAGTTTACATCATAGCATACTTCTTAGCCTATAGAGGTGGCAGATTTAAATTCAAATACAGTGCAGAGTTTTTACCTGACGACGGCGCAACACTGCCAGTTTTAGGCAGAATATTTAAATTTTAACTAAGATGCACTGAAGTGCCAAATCATGGACTACACGTGTCTGCAGCACAATTAGACACTTGTTTACATAGTTTATCAACAAAAAAGTTGATTTAGGGGTGACTTGCTCTTTAAATCTGCCATCGCTATTGGCTAAGAGGTACACTATGATGTTAGATGGTACATTATGATGTCACAATGTCATGAGTGTGTGTGTATTTGTTAGCGTCTCCACCCTCTCGGTCTGCTAGGCAACATTTGTTGCATTTTTCAAACAGGAAGTGGGAGTTGAGTAAGAATCTGGCAGGGGGTGACTTGCTCATCAGAGCAGCTCAGTGCCACCAACAACAGGTCAGAACTTTCAGAATACACACACGTTGCCAAGACAACAAACGGTTCTACAGGTGCTGGCCAGTAAATTAGAATATCATCAAAAGGTTGAAAATATTTCAGTAATTCCATTCAAAACGTGAAACTTGTACATTATATTCATGCAATGCACACAGACCAATGTATTTCCAATGTTCATTACATTTAAATTTGATATTCATAAGTGACAACTAATGAAAACTCCAAATTTGGTATCTCAAAAAATTAGAATATTCTGAAAAGGCTGAATATAGAAGACACCTGCTGCCACTCTAATCAGCTGATTTACTCAAAACACCTGCAAAGGCCTTTAAAAGGTCCCTCAGTCTTGTTTTGAAGGCACCACAATCATGGGGAAGACTTCTGACTTAACAGCTGTCCAAAAGACAATCATTGACACCTTGCACAAGGAGGGCAAGACACAAAAGGTGATTGCTAAAGAAGCTGGCTGTTCGCAGAGCTCTGTGTCCAAGCACATTAACAGACAGGCGAAGGGACGGAAAAAATGTGGTAGAAAAAAGTGTACAAGCTCTAGGGATAACCGCACCCTGCAGAGAATTGTGACGACAAACCCATTCAAAAATGTGGGGGAGATCCACAAAGAGTGGACTGCAGCTGGAGTCAGCGCTTCAAGAACCACCACGAGGAGACTCATGAAAGACATGGGATTCAGGTGTCGCATTCCGTGTGTCAAGCCACTCTTGAACATGAAACAGCGCAAGAAGCGTCTCGCCTGGGCCAAGGACAAAAAGGACTGGACTGATGCTGAGTGGTCCAAAGTTATGTTTTCTGATGAAAGCAAGTTCTGCATTTCCTTTGGAAATCAAGGACCCAGAGTCTGGAGGAAGAGCGGAGAAGCACAGAATCCACGTTGCATGAGGTCCAGTGTAAAGTTTCCACCGTCAGTGATGGTGTGGGGTGCCATGTCATCTGCCGGTGTTGGCCCACTCTGTTTCCTGAGGTCCAGGGTCAATGCAGCCGTCTACCAGGAAGTTTTAGAGCACTTCATGCTTCCTGCTGCTGACCAACTTTATGGGGATGCAGACTTCACCTTTCAACAGGACTTGGCACCTGCACACAGTGCCAAAACCACCAGCACCTGGTTCAAGGACCATGGTATCCCTGTCCTTGATTGGCCAGCAAACTCGCCTGACCTTAACCCCATAGAAAATCTATGGGGTATTGTGAAGCGGAGGATGCAATACGCTAGACCCAACAATGCAGAGGAGCTGAAGACGACTATCAGAGCAACCTGGGCTCTCATAACACCTGAGCAGTGCCACAGACTGATCGAGTCCATGCCACGCCGCATTACTGCAGTTATTGAGGCAAAAGGAGCCCCGACTAAGTATTGAGTGCTATACATGCACATTCTTTTCATGTTCATTCTTTTCAGTTGGCCAACATTAGAGAAACAAACATTTTTTCATTGGCCTTTAGAATATTCTAATTTTCTGAGATACCAGATTTGATGTTTTCATTGGTTGTCACCTATAAATATCAAATTTAAATGTAATGAACATTGGAAATACATTGGTCTGTGTGCATTGCATGAATATAATGTACAAGTTTCACGTTTTGAATGGAATTACTGAAATATTTTCAACCTTTTGATGATATTCTAATTTACTGGCCAGCACCTGTATACCCAACAGTTGCCATTTCTCAATACACCATTTCTAAGTACACAAGGAGGCTAGTACGTTCTTGTGTACTTGACAGGTTCATAGCTAGTACAGCAGAAAGTCTGCTCTACTGAGGACGAGAACTAAACCGCACGTCAAGGCAACAAGCGCTGCTGCAGTTAAAGAAATGATTTAAAATTTAAAGTCTAGTTTGTCCTTCAAATAAAATTAATTAAATGGGGGATAGTGGTGTAAGTTTAGCCCTATGAGTAAACTGACCAATGTACAGTTTCTAGGTTAAACCTGTCATTTAGAATTATCCTAAACGAAACTTAAAACTATATAAACAAGTCTAATTTAAGTGTGCTGTTCAAAAATATTAGGTAACACTTAATAAGGGTTCCTTTATTAAAGAGCAAGTCACCCCCAAATCAACAGTTTTTTCTGATGAGCTATATAAATGAGTGTGTAATCGTGCTATAGACATGTGTAGTCAATAATTTGGCACTTTAGTGCATCTTTGTTAAAGCTTCTTTCCGGAGTATTTCTCGTATCCGATGGCACCATCTAGTGGCTGTCAAGCATTTCACACATAAATTCTGTTGCTTTGTTTTTTTAAGATGGCGACTTCACGTTTATGTTTATAAATGTGCTTCTGTAGCCGACAAACAGCTAAAACACGCTGTTTTACGAGTATTATTCTCATGTCATGTTGTGTTCTCATATATTTATATTTTAGAGACTTTCTTGTCTGTTCATCAACTCTGCATCAGCTGAGGTATTCCTTAAATTTGAAGCAAGTAAGTGGTAGTCTAACGCTATATGTTAGTTCTGGTCGGCGCTCAGTTTCCTATTGCACGGAGCTCTGCGGATGGGGGGGGGGGGGGGGGGGGGGGTGCTTAGCAAAAAAAAAGACGTGTCGCTTACATTTTATTACAGTACACGATAAGATAATCACTGATACGGATTACGTACTTCTGACAAATCATAGTTAATTTCTGAAAGGGGAAAACTCCGGAGAACAACTTTAAAATGTAAATATTCTGCATAAAACGGACACTGTTGTGCCCTCTTCTGGTATTAACTCTGCACTACATTTGAATTTAAATCTGCCATCGCTATTGGCTAAGGGGTGCCTTATGATGTTAGCTGGTACAATATGATGTCAATACCCCTGTGAGTCTGTGTGTGTGTGTATTTGTTAGCGGCTTCGCCCTCTCAGCCTGCCAGGCAATGCCTCCTTGTGGTGCATTTTTCAACAGGAAATGGGAGTGGAGATAGAATCTGAGTGATTGCTCTTTAAAGTTAAAACAAAGGGCTGGGGGGTGTCTGCTTAGTGATGCATTCCTTAATATTAA